CCACAAGGGACAGAATTAGAGAAAAAAAAACCTACAAAAAAAATCTACCAAAAAAAAAAACCCTAAAAAAAACCCTACAAAAAAAAAAACCCTACAAAAAAAACCCTACAAAAAAAAACTCTACAAAAAAAAAACCCTACAAAAAAAACCCTACAAAAAAAAACTCTACAAAAAAAAACCCTACAAAAAAAACCCTACAAAAAAAACCCTACAAAAAAAAAATACCTACAAAAAAATAACCTACAAAAAAACTTACAAAAAAACCCCTATAAATAAAAACCCTACAAAAAACCCTACAAAGAAAACCCTACAAATAAAAACCTACAAAAAAGGGGTGCCAGAGGATGGTGCCAGACTCTCCCATCAGTGCCCAGTGACAGTCCCTGTGTCACCTACTCCAGGTGACCCTGCCTGGGCTTGGATGTTCTCCAAGCCAAACTTTTCTGGGATTATGGATTCTGGAAACTTTCCCAAGCGAGCTGCACCTGTGGATTTGTGCCTTCCCAACCCCTCCTGACCAGTCTGAGCTGCATTTGTGGATTTGTGCCTGTCCAACACCTCTGTGACTTTATACCTCACCTTTCCAACCCCTCCTGACCAGTCTGAGCTGCACCTGTGCCTTTCCAACCCCCCCTGACCTGTCTGAGCTGGATCTGTGGCTCTGTGCCTCACCTTTCCAACCCCTCCTGACCAGTCTGAGCTGCATTTGTGGCTTTGTGCCTCATCTTCCCAACCCCTCCTGGCCAGTCTGAGCTGCATCTGTGGATTTGTACCTGTCCAACACCTCTGTGACTTTATACCTCACCTTTCTAACCCCTCCTGGCCAGTCTGAGCTGCATTTGTGGATTTGTGCCTGTCCAACACCTCTGTGGCTTTGTGCCTCACCTTCCCAACCTCTCCTGGCCAGTCTGAGCTGGATCTGTGCCTTTCCGACCCCCCCTGACCTGTCTGAGCTGCACTTATGGCTCTGTGCCTCACCTTTCCAACATCTCCTGGCCAATCCCACCCACTGCAGCACCCCAAATCCCTCAGGAGCAGAGCTCCGACCACAACCCAGAGCCGTGGAGCTCTCCCACCTCCCCAAACCCCCCGGTGTCCCCATGGCCAGCCCCCCATAGCCCCCATCCTTACGTGATGTACTTGTTGTAGAGGATGAAGGCGTGCTCCAGGTTGCCCTCCTCGCGGTAGACGGTGGCCATGCGCAGCATCTCCACGCCCGAGCGGAAGTAGCGGCGCGGGGGGATGTCCTCGCTCACCTCCACGCTGCTCCCCACCTGGATCAGCCGCCGCACGCGCTCCTCCGGGGCCAGCCCGGCGCCGCCGGGGCCCGGCATGGTGACACGCATGGGACGGGCTCTGCGGGGACACGCGGAGGGCTCAGGAACCGCGGGGAGAGGGAATGGGGAGGGATTGCGGAGTCAGGGAAATCGTGGAATCACGCGAATCACAAAATCGTGGAAATCGTGGAATCACAGATCATGGAATCACACAATCACGAAATCATGGAATCACGGAAATCGTGGAATCACAAATCATGGAATCACACAAATCACAAAATCATGGAATCACACAAATCGCAAAGTCATGGAATCACACAATCACAAATCATGGAATCACACAATCACAAAATCATGGAATCACACAAATCACAAATCATGGAATCACACAATCACAAAATCGTGGAATCACACAAATCACAAAATCATGGAATCACATAAATCACAAAATCATGGAATCACACAATCACAAAATCATGGAATCACACAATCACAAAATCATGGAATCACACAAATCACAAAGTCATGGAATCACACAAATCACAAAATCGTGGAATCACGGAAATCGTGGAATCACAAATCATGGAATCACACAAATCACAAAATCATGGAATCACACAACACAAATCATGGAATCACACAAATCACAAAATCATGGAATCACACAATCAAAAAATCGTGGAATCATGGAAATCGTGGAATCACAAATCACGGAATCACGGAAATCGTGGAATCACACAGTCACAAAATCATGGAATCACGGAAATCATGGAATCACACAGTCACAGAATCGTGGAACCAAATCCCTTCCTCAGAATAATCCCTGCCAAGGCTCACGGTCCTTTACAGGGAGAGCAGACCCCACTCACACCCTGGGACCCCCCCTCTAAATCCGGGAGGGGAAAGATGGCCCGGTCAGAGCCCCAGAACGAACCCCCCTGTTCTGAGGGGAAAGATGGCCCGGTCAGAGCCCCAGAACGAATCCCTCCATCCTGAGGGGAAAGATGGCCCGGTCAGAGCTGCCGGACCGGATCCCCTGTTCTGAGGGGAAAGATGACCCAGTCAGAGCCACCGGACCGGATCCCCTGTTCTGAGGGGAAAGATGGCCCGGTCAGAACCCCAGAACGAACCCCCCTGTCCTGAGGGGAAAGATGGCCCGGTCAGAGCCCCAGAACGAACCCCCCTGTCCTGAGGGGAAAGATGGCCCGGTCAGAGCCCCAGAACGAACCCCCCTGTCCTGAGGGAAACATCTCCCAGCCCAAAGCAGATCCCCCTTCCCACAGCCAGACCCCCGGCGGGAATTCTCCTTCCTAAAGTGAATACGGCACAGCCGGAACGCTGCGGAGCGGCTTCCCCTCCTTACAGAGAAGATTCCAGACCCCCCCGACCGCGCCTCCACACGAGACCCTCCGGCCCCCCTCCCCACAACCGGAGCGGTATCTCCGGAGAGGTCCCAGCACCACGGTCCCGGCGGCTCGAGCCGCCCCCGATGCTCAAAGGGTCCCCCCCCAGCAGAGGTCGGGACCCCCATCCCGCAGAGCCCTCCCCATCCCCGACCCAGCCATGACCGAACCTGGCGCGCCCGCCGCCGCCGGTTGCCCTCAGCACTTCCGGGTTCTTCCCCACACACCGAAGCACCGCCCAGCCTCGCTTCCGGCAGCCAATCAGAAACCGCCCCAACATCCGGGTACGTAGCACCCACACCCACTTCCGCCCTGCCGCTTCCGTTTCCTCCGCCGTACGCCATGACGTCACAGCTCGCGTCTTAAAGGGGCAGCGCCCGCGGAAAGGCCGCGCTCCGGCCCAGCCCAAACCCGGCCGTTTTCACCCCAAAACCGGGCGAGCCCCTCCCGACCCCCCGCGGAGTGCACGGGCCCCTCCGGGAAAATGACTGCTCCACACCCAGGCTGCAGTTTGCACAGCGTGGAAATTTACTTTAGCAAAAGTGGGTAAAAACGAGACACAAAAAAATCTGGTGTTTCAGGCCCAATCCCGTTTCTCGTTGAGGAAATCAACAAAAACCCGTTTTGTTGAAAGCCCTAGGGATGCCTGAGGATTTCTTTAGGATTATTGCAGCTCTGCTTGAGTCCATGTTTATTTTTATTCCCTGCATCCCCTCACGGGTCGGACTCTGCGCAGCACCGCGTTAAAAAAATTCCGTGTAAAAGCATCTGGGGGCAGTAAAAGAAATCAGATTTAAAAAATAGCCCTGTTCAGCTGCTCCACACCCAGTTCCTGGCTGAGCCACAGCTGTCCCCTCCAGCCCTGGGAGGGTTTTTGCTGGTGGAAATCTCTGGTGTTGTCAGGATATTTCCTGCTGTCGCGGTTTGTGTTTCCTGCGCCGGCGTTTCCTGGCAGGTGAGGGCTCCTGGGGCGGCCAGGGATGAGGGATCTGGGTGGGGAACAGCTCCTTGTGCTGCTTCTTGAGGGGTGGGGAAAGGCAAAAGTTCTTGGGGGGGAAAGTGCAGGGCTGTCTGTGCTCCGGGAAATTCTGCTCCAGGTGATTCTGCTCTGGGAAAGGCTGACCCAGGTGATTCTGATCCAGGTAACTCTGCTTCCTCTGCTCTGGGAAAGTCTGATCCAGGTGATTCTGCTCCAGGTAACTCTGCTGCCTCTGCTCCAGTTTCTTCTGCCCCAGATAATTCTGCTGCCTCTGTTCCAGATTCCTCTGCTCCAGCTTCCTCTGCTTCCTCTGTTCCAGCTTCTTCTGCCCTTGTTCTAGATGATTCTGCTCCAGGAAACTCAGCTGCCTCTGCTCCAGGCAATTCTGCTCCAGAAAACTCTGCTGCCTCTGTTCCAGATTCTTCTGCCCTTGTTCCAGATGATTCCGCTGCTTCTGCTGCCTCTGCTCCAGATGATCCTGCCCTTGTTCCAGATGATTCTGCTCCAGCTGCTCCAGCTTTTTCTGTCTCTTCTCCAGCTTCTTCTGCTGTCTCTTCTCCAGCTTCTTCTGCTGTTTCTTCTCCAGCCTCCTCTGCTTCTTCTGCTCCAGCTTCTCCAGCTGTTTCTGCTCCAGCTGTTTCTGCTCCAGCTGTCCCTGCCCCAGGGCCCCATGCCTGTGGCCCGGCTCCTGGGGCTGTCCCTGAGCCGTGGGGCCAGGCTGCTGCTTCTTCCTGGAGCTGCCGGGACTCCTGCAAGGAAATTGGGGAGTCAGCACCCGAAAAAGAGCTGGTGGGGAACTCCCTCCTGGAAATTTCCCTGGAAATTCCTGGGTTTCCCTGTAAACTCTTGGATTTCCCTGTAAACTCTTGGATTTCCCTGTAAACTCCTGTGTTTCCCTGGAAATTCCTGTGTTTCCCTGGGAACTCCTGGATTTTCCTGGGAACTCCTGTGTTTCCCTGGGAACTCCTGGATTTCCCTGGAAATTCCTGTGTTTCCCTGGAAATTCCTGTGTTTCCCTGGAAACTCCTGGATTTCCCTGGGAATTCCCGGATTTCCCTGGGAATTCCTGTGTTTCCCTGTAAATTCCTGTGTTTCCCTGTAAATTCCTGTGTTTCCCTGGAAACTCCTGGATTTCCCTGGAAACTCCCGGGATTTCCCTGGGAACTCCCGGATTTCCCTGGGAATTCCCAGATTTCCCTGACGATTCCAGCTGAGGAACATTCCAGCCCCTCTGGGATCCTGCTCCCACCCTGCCAGGAT